GGAAGAGAGAGGACAGAGGAAAGAGGTGAACTGATGCTCTAAACGTTTTTTCTTGCTGTAGCAGGACAGGGAATGAGTCATGCCATACGGGCTCAGAAAACAGACATGAACAGAACCTGCCACACCCCTGAGTCGTGGGAAAAGTGTCGGGTTACAAAAATGCTTATGATGACTACAAGGAGACGCAACAGAATTCTATATCTGCTTCCTGCACAAATCACATTTATCCAAATGTAGACATGAGTAAGTGAATAAAATTTATATCAGCCTGTATACAACTTTTTAGTTTTAGTTCGTAGAATTTTCAAAGGTTGCAAATATAAGAAAACACAACCTCCGTGCCTTCAGTTTTGTGAAGTCAGATAACAATATTGATGAGGCTAATTTGAACATTTATGTTTCACATAACATAAAGTGAAGGTGTCAACTTACCACAGCCACAGGAGGTCAGGCTGATGAGCAGCAGGATCCTGCAGAAGATCTTCTCCCTGTGAAATAAATCAAGAGGGTAAGCAACAAAGTGCATTCAACAACATGAAAGACACTGGACCACTGACTACATCCACAGTAGTCTTTGCAGATTCAGCACCCACATGTTCCCAGTTGGAGAGTTCACTTTGTATCCTCCACACTCTCTCTCTTTCTCACGGTCACGGTGTTTCTCAGCCGCTATCCTGCCGTGTGGTTTTGCATTCACTTGACCTGATGTTTAAATCTTTACTGTCCGGTTACAGTCAACTCCTCAACTCAAGATGTCCTCAGTATGTCAGGAAGTTTCAAGATGAGCGTTCACTCACTGCTAATATATCTGCACTAAAGTAAAGTGTGTCTGTCCTCCTCACTCCTCCTGCTCCTGCCTGCATTCAACATTTGTTGCGTCTACATCTGTGTCTCTGTACAGGGTTTTGTCGGCAGACTAGCGCTCCTCCCTAAATGATGCCTGCACTTCAGGTCTGGTTTATAAATAAACCGTGCAGTTGAGCGTCATGCTGGATACACGGTTTATGAGCGAGGTGTATCCAGCATGCCGCTCACATGCAGGTACAACCCTGCAGGGAATAACCGAAAGGGTGTTTCCTGGCTGCACGAAAAAAAAAACAACAGGTAGCCTGGACCGGGTAGTTTCTTGCCTGCACAGAAACCATGGTAATCTCTCATGTGGTCAAAGAATGATTAACCTGATGCGCTCTATACCAACATTTATTCTTACACACATGTAGATCAATCACATTGACATGAATATGATGGTATGTAAGGCACGCAATGTGCATATATTATGTATACAGGCAGGGTTCTAATACTTAGAACACATTAATCAAGATTTTATGTGCATGTATGTTTATTCATGTGTTTGTTAATGCTGTGCCGCACAACAGTGCAATACTCAAGGTCAAGATGAAATTCCATTACCTAGCTGTGAAAAGATATCTGTTAAAATGTGGGGGATCTTCCAGCCTACCCCTCCTCTTTGCAGCGGCAGCAGCATCAGATGTACTACAAGTCAGAATAACTCAGCCAAATAAATGACGAGATGAGGAGAATGTACTCAAGATGATAATAATGACTGTAATAAAACGGATCATGTGCAGCGTAGTATGTAGCACTTCTCTCAACAATGTGTTTTTACACTATGTTAATGTGGGATCTATTTCACTGATTTGTTCAAAGTATTTTGAGAGAGAGAGAGAGAGAGAGCGAGAGAGAGAGAGAGAGAGAGAGAGAGAGAGAGAGAGAGAGAGAGAGA